TTTATATGTAATTTATTTTTAAATATTAAAGTTAATTAAATTAATTTAAATATATACAATATAAATCTTGATTTATAGAACAAAATTAAATATAATTTTTTGTTTGTATTTATATTTAAATATTTGAACATTTTTTTTCAAATTATATATATCAAAAATGTACTAATTGAAAATTTTTTTTTTTTTGATAAAAATAGATTAGTAAAATACGTTTAAATATATTTATTTCCAAAATTAGATTTATTAAGGATTTGCAACTTTTGGATTCATACGTCAAACTTTAACATATTTCGAAATTAAGATTGCATCATAATTACGTAAATACAATTCAAAAATATAATAGTTCAGATTGACATTTCTTTTTTGTCGAGGAGAAATTCACGTGCCTCACAACATTAATTAGGAAAGTTCCAATTTTTTTTTTGACGTTTTCCCGTTTTTTCCCACCATAAAAAAATAAATATTTTCAACCTTTCGCAAGTAGTAACGGTAAGTGTAACATTTTGTTAGTTGGAGTCATATGGTCCAAACATTTACAACATTTCTAGTATGTTACATTTACAAGTTTTTTTTTTCCTCAGAGGTTAGTAGTTTTGTTACATATCAAGTTTTTTAATTTAATTATTTCATATCATTGTGTTCTTATTGCTCCGAGTCATGGCGTTTATTATATGTATTAATTGGTGGTGAAATGTTCTAAATATGTGATTGTGACTTCATGATCTGACAAAAATTTATCCACAATAATTAATTTTTTGTTTATAAAAAAAAAAGAGAAAGATTTTTTATTATTTATTAATCAGGATAAATTTCCCCTTAATTATTGAATAAAAAAAAGTTTTTTGGAATTCTGAACAACATTTGAATAATCACGAAAGGTAAAGATAATCATCACATCAACGAAAAGGACGTCAAGAAATCCGAACAAAAACCCTGCATAATAAATGAAATGTTTATTGCTTGTTTTTTTTAAAAAATAAGTGATTATTATTTTTTATATACATTATAATTAAAAAAAAATACAAATATACCGAAAATCATAGAAAGTTAGAAACCCCACATAAAATTATTTTCTTTTTCAGGTTAAATCAAAAAAAGAATGTTGATTGTTTAGTGTTACCGTGTGATTAGGCGGCGTGTACCGCGTTTTGAAGCGGCTGATGATGATTATTTGTTGGTTAGCTTGAGTGATTATCTCGATATGAAAAACGTAACATAACATATATCAAGATTTTTTTTTGGAAGGGAAAAAATATGGAGTTAAACCTTAAAGGACCATACAATATCTAGGTTTTTAAATCAAACCGGTTTTAACAATATCATGCATCGGATATAATTGGATCATTTTTATTAAAGTTGTCATCAAAGATGTTGTAATCTGTCAACATTGTAAAAAATAAAAATAAAATCAAAAATCAAAATAAATAATATATGCAAAGTAAGTCCACATCTTGGAAAATCAATTTCATATCGCATGAATACAGCTTTTCCCTTCGAAAAGAAGATTCACCATATAGAGGGAAAAGATGTGTTCATGTAAAATAAAATAAATATATAATATATACACACATGAGAGGAAAATACAATCTCAAGTGCTCATAAATCAAACTTTACCCATATATTCTCACCTTTAATCGTTAGTGGTATTTTTTATTAAAAAAAAAAAATAAAATAAATGGTCATCAGGTTCAATAATTGGTCACTATATTCTTTATTCCTGTTATGCTTAAAAAATTGCAATGTTTATAATTTAATAATTAAATTAATATTCTTAACAGTTGAAGGTTACAAGAAACCCTTACACATAAGTAAAATTCTCCGGATTAGGAGTATTCATAAAGAAATAAGCACTACATGTGACACTTTAATTTTGTCATGTCCAATGAAGATTGAAAGATTATCCAACATGGATCTGCACGTTCTGGATTGAAATTAAATCGGTTGTTTTACTTACGACCAATTATTGATGTCAAAGTATTCGAACCTTCTTAACCCATTTGATCGGTTTGATTGGTTTAAAAGAAATTATGTATAAAGATGATTAAAGAATAACTCTCTCTTTTTTTTGGCTTACCTAATATATATACATTGTCATCCAGGTAAATTAAACGCGTTAAATTTTTATTTTTTTTTTATAAATCAAATAAACAATTTAATGGGGTACAAATCGAATTTCGACAAAAATCATGAGTCGGAAAAAAGATAATATCCGGTAATAAAATGAGGGTTCTTGGCATTTAATTTTGGCTTTAAAAATTCTTATCACCATCATCATTTGTTAACCCTATCAAGTCAAATTAAATTGTTTGTTTTAGTCACGCACAACCTAAAACTGTAATCTCATTTACATAAGTTTCATTAGCACAAAAAATATCTTCAATCAACTTGATTATTATTTTTTTGAGTCTGTGTCATGATACACCCGATAGGATAAAGCTTACGAAAAATATCGCGCTAGAAAGTCCTTGGAAGTTGACCATTTCTAGAACACACCATTCTAGTTTATGTTTGAAAATAACACAAGATTGAGGTAAGGGGATCTTTTTTATTTTTAAGAACCTAAAAAGGTATTTTATCCTCAAAATATAATAAATAAAAAAAATGTTCTCTACTTTTTTTGGTAAGGATAAATTTTTGGCCGAGTCGGAGTGCACAGCCTGAAAGTAGAGGAGAACCTTTTCGTGTAAATCTCGCGTCAGGATTTTTTTTTTTTTTAAAAAAAAATCCGTTATGCGTACAAGGCGTCAGAATATAAAATCAATCTTGTATGTATAAAATCAAATTCAAGCAAGTTATTACGAGCTTTGGATATTTTCTATAGAATATAGGTAGGACCTTTTAATTTATCAGCACTAAATTTGATAAACAAGGGATGAATGAAACAAGTTGCTCAATGTGGATAAGAACAAGGGTTCATAAATCACAACGAACCAAAAATACCTTCTCATCCCCTGAAATTACAATGTTACAAACGAGGTAGTGTTATAGAGAAGCGCATTGTTTTTTCGTGTGATACATTCGTGTGATACATTAAACGTATCACCGAGTCTATTTATTTCCAAACCTTATTTTAAAGTTGTAATTTGTCTGTGATATATTAATCCAAGGGATTTACCAAAAAAGTAATATCCCACCAATATATATTATGTGTTTCATTACGCCAAGTATAGTAAAAGAGAAATTTGTGAATTGGCAAATTAGTAATGGTAAATAAACGGCTAATAATTCTTACTCAAAAAGAGATAAGTTTAGATTGTTTAGATTTTTTGTTAGGGAGGGCGGTAGTTGGTAAAAATTTTTTTGTAGTGATTTAGTAAAAGGTATGAAAAAGGATTTTTTCTTTTTAAAAAGAAACGAACTTCTTTTTAATGGCACATTATTGATCATCACATGTTTTAAATCAATTTAACTAGAATTTATATAGTATAGATAAAAAGAAGAAAATTGTGGGGTATTTTGTAGTATCCTTTCAATCCAAGTAGTCTGGTGATGTTTTTTTCCGAACAAATCTGTTCTAAACCCAAAAAGGTCTTTTAGTTTTACGAAATTTCTGCGATAAACACGCGATTTCAGAAATTGTGATAATGCTTTGAGTCATTTGTTTATCGCTTCATCTATCCTAATCCCGCAAAAATAAACGGTGTTCAGGGAACTCTGAGGTCGTACAATGGGAAAATTTCAGATGATTATTTATTGAACAAACATATCATATTTTTTTTTGAAAAGGAGATCCGTCAGTTTTTTTGATGAAATCCGAAAAAAAAGCTTGAGATTTTTGTTTTCTTTTTTTATTTTGAAAAAGCATGGCAAAAGCGATTTCTCGAGGTTCCTACCCCCATATATATTATTTTATTAAAAAAGGTCATTTCACCGAAAATTGGTGATAAGTCCATCGGTCGTAATTGGTTCTCACTAATCACCAAATATATTAAACAGGTTTTAAACTGAAGTTGGTCATCGTAACAGACAAAATTGCGTCTGGGGCGCGTGGGGTTATCACTATTTGGGAATCTTGCATCTAATGTTTGTCCTTCCCGCCCAATGATATACAACCCACAGTTCTGATAAATAATAATTTCGACCACAATTGATATTATATACTATTAAAACAAACAATTAGATAATATTGATCGAAATTACTTACAATTACTCCAATTTGTACTAGTAATACTAGTAAAAAAGGGGTGAGAAGTTTAATATATATTTTTTATTTATATTATTTTTTTGATTTCCTAATTTTAGAAATTAATGATGATTCAAGTTTTCTTTCTTCACTTTCTCTCAAAAAAATTTTTTTTTTGAATATAAAGGGTATGTTCTCCGACATTGTAGATCTCTCTTCGTTTGGTCTCATGCATACGTTCAACAATGGGTCCTTTTTGACAAACCCTCTTTCTTATCGGATAAATTAAATGAAAAAAGTTATCAATGTGACCTTCTATATTGTACATTTTGTTCCTACATGTTTAAGTTCTTTTTGAGCTGCACCACGGTGACACAACGCTAAATCAACGCCCATCCAAAAATCTTTTTTTATGTGCTTACTTTAACGTGTTTGTTCAAGTGATGATTTTAATTGATGGCAACTAACATATCTTTAATTTACCCTCCCTTTTGTCACATTTTACCGGGTATGTTCCCCCATAAAAAAAAATTTTTTTTTTATTCCCCTCATTGTAAAATTGTGATATAAATAACTTGGAAGAATTTTCACGTTTAAAAAAAAAAAAAAAAAAAAAAAAAAAATAATTTTTCTTACAAAACATTACAAACATTGGTAAAGTTAACACACTAAACACAAAAAAAAAGAGAGAGAGAAAAAAAAAAAAAAAAGGAAAATTAAACAATTTCCTACCCAATTATTAAAAATTAATATAAATATATATAATTTTTTCCCATTCGATTTTTTCCTCTAGCATTTCGTTTGAACGGTCATAACTTCAATAGTTATCAATATTGTTATCAAACTCCTTTCTAGTCCAGTCAAAAAAATTTCTATTATGGCCAACATTAGTAGGTTCCCTCACCACAAACTAAACAGCAATATTAATAATAACAATAGTAATGATGTATCAGGTAAATGTCTCCTTTCTTTGGGAAAAAAAAAATATCTTCAATTGTCTTGGGATAATGAATTCTTTATCACGTATATAAGAACGAACCCAATTAATAAAAACAAACGCGTTCATGTTTGAAATTTCCAATTCTAAATTCTCTGTTATCCCTCCCTCCAATTTATATATATAATCTTTTTTCCTGACATTACTAAATTCAAACTTTTTTTTTTTTCGCGCAGTTCAAGAATTAATGCGGATCAATTTTGAAAAGAAAGCCTTTCCACAAACAACGTGTACTGATAATCATCGTGGTAAAATGCAACACAATAATAAAAAGCCCAACAAATCAAAACTCAACAACGATCCTTTATGTTCTTCACAAAAGAAGAAGAAGAGTAAGAGAAACGTCAAATCAACATCAACGACATTGGTTCGAAATTGTCAATATGTTTTGACAGATGGACAACAATTAAATAATTATTCAACACCACCACCTTCACAACAAAAAAATATGGTCATAACTTCCCAAATCCCTTCATTACAAAACGACTCATTTGTTGTTTTACCACCTTCACATGATTTGCCTTCTGGTTTCCCATCACAAAAATCTGCATCATGTCAAAATGAATCTCATCAATTTACCTTCTCCGATGATATTCCTTCCTTTTGTTCACAAATTATTTCAAGGCAAAATCGGTCATCCTCCTTTACTTCACAACATCCACAGCAATTCCCACATCAACCTTCACATCCACATCCACATCAACATCCACATCAACATTCACATCAACCTCCACATCAACATTCACATCAACCTCCACATCAACATTCACATCAACCTCCACAGCAACCCCCACATCAGCCTCCATCACATCAACCTCCACAGCAATCACCTCAGCAACAATGCAATGGAGAGATGATGGTTCAAGGATCAAATATTCTAGAGTTCTATGAGGTAAAACTTCCGGGAATGGATCAACCAATTCTCGTTCCCAAGCTTATAATCGAGAAAACCGATTTTGAACCTGTCCAAACGTCTTCACCCACCGAGTTACGCGCTGATCAACGTCCAGTAGTCACGGTCAATTTACCGAGAAATTCAAAGAATTCTCTTCTCTGTGAAGAACCTTGGTGGCTATCTTCAAAAGGTACCGTTGCTTTTTCACAAGACGACGACAACGACGATAACGTTGAGGGTGAATACGAATCTGCACACGCGATACAAATTGCGACAGGGGTTTACCCCTTAGTAAAGTTACCTCCCCATGGTTCGAAAAGCCTTACAATCAAATCGAATTCAAAGAAGGAATTTATGTGGATTAACGGTTATAACGGTTATTGCCATCTCAATGATATCACATCAAACAGTATCAACTTCGAATCAGAACCACTTATCGTACGATTACCTCCGAAAGCAATTCCTAATACGCGTTTTAATATACAGAATCTCAAAATTGAAACGAACATAGAGCTCAATAAAGATGATGATGATGCCTTCTTTGCGTCTTTGGGTTGTTCAACCTTGTCCACTCCCATGTCCGAGACTTCAACTACCTCATTTTCAAATACGTCAACGTACGCAGAATCAGCAACCACTGCGTTTACCGAAGAAGAAATTATCAATGATGTTAAGCATTGCAATTCTCGATCACCTTCTGTACTTTCTACCCTTAGTTCTGAACATCTTTCTCCTGTCTTGGAAGAAGATGAGGAAGAAGAGGAGGACAAGTCTGAAATAGTTCTTCCCGTCGAGGAATGTCAAGAAGAGATGATAATCGAAGAACCAGTTGATGTGGAAATTTCATCCATTTGTGGGAGTGAGGATTCAGAACATCAGACTCACGAAAACGACGAGGAACACGAGGATCAAGAACATTTGTTCCCCCACTTACTCGAAATTGTGGAACATCTTGAAAAATTGGAACCAGATTCAGATGAGGCACTCAGAATTCGTCGGCAACTCGAAAGAATCAGTGAAGAGAATTATCCGGACTCTTTGCCACTGTCCAATAAATGGTAAAATATCTTCTTTTTTTTTTTGGACTTTCATTTCATTTTCATTATTTATTTTACTAATACTAGAATTCCTTTATATTCGTTAATAGGACTATGTATTATTCAGATACATCAGCAACAAAGACGAACACGAGGATTGTCTCAAAGAATAAATATTCTTCGACATTGAATACGGTCTTTAAGTGCAACACGGTTCCAGAATTGTGCTCAAATTTGCGTGAATTCTATTCAAAGGTCAAGCCAAGCGAAATGAAAACGTTTGGGAATCTCAGCTTCTTTAAGGGGGACATAATGCCTATGTGGGAAGACGAAGTTAACCAAAAGGTAATTATCTCGAAATGTTGTATTCGGATCACGTTTTTTATTTTCATTTATTAACCGAACCTTTCTCATTTATAGGGAGGTCGTTTCACTTTATGTCCTGCAAGAAATCGACTTGATTCGCTATGGGATTCAATTATCTTGCTTCTCGCCGGTGAAACTATCGACGATAACAATGTCATCTGTGGTGCCGTCTGTGCTCGTCGAAGCAGAGGAGACCGCGTAGAACTCTGGATAAGCGGCAATGCTGATTACGAAGCCATCGATCGTATCAGGTTGGTTTAGATATTCGAAATGAAAGAATTTATTTGAATGATTAAAACCGTATATGACATACTAAAAGTATCGTTTTTATTATTGCAGAGATCTCTTAGCAGCCGAATTAGGTAGTGATATTGTTAAGAACGTCAAGTACAAGAAACACTACGAAAAGTCATGAGGGATAGAGTTTAACTTGAATGTTACAATATATGTTATATATGATGTGTATTTATGTACAGACCGATGATTTAATTATTATTATTATTATTATTATTAATGTGGACTTTCACAAAAAAAATTTTTTTTATTTACCATATAGTCCAAATATGGAGAAACATCTTTTTATTAAAAATTTTTTTCTTACTTGATGAGGACCAAGTTCGCGATGTTTTTTTTAACGCATCGTGTCAAATTTTCTTGTATATATCTCTCGTAAAAGAGGTAATGTAAATAATATATTTTGTAACCTAACGTTTAGAGTTATTAAAAAGTAATTGTATAGCATTTTTTTTTTATTGAAAATATTGTGATGGCTAGTTATAACATTTCCTTGTTTAAAATTATATATTTTCTTTATTTTATTTCATTTTATTTTTTTAGTATAGTTTATGTTATATAATCTATGTATAACGTATTCGTCAAAAAATGTGTACAAATCTTTTTTTTTTTTCCTATTATATTTCTTTCGATAAGAAAATGTTTTTAAATTATCCACAAAAAAATTTGCATAATAAAAAACTGACAAAAAAAAATGTTAATATTCTAATATTGCTGTATTAAATCAAAATTTTATGTGTTGAAATTTACATGGAGAAATTTTCAGTTTAGATCGTCCGCAATATTTCTATAAAAGGAACTTCTTTCTCAAATGAAAGTTTAGCGACTTAACTATCTATATAAGTGATGATGGAATTAGGGCACATGATACACTTACCGCTTACGCAATTTAAGATGTATGGATCTCGAACTATGTCACTTATAATTATTTTAATTTTAGGGGATAGTATTTTTTATCTTCTTTCTTTATTAAGTAAGTGAAATTCATTCGTCTCACAACATGAGTTCAAAGATGAACAAGATTTTAAGGGGATTATATTTTTCATGAGAAAAAAAAATGTCAAACATGTTTGACAGGGATAGTTGAATCGCAGAGATTGATAAAAATTTAATTTAGATCAATATTAGTTACAATTTAAATAAACAATTTAACTAAATTTATTTCTTTCCCCCTTGAAAAGAAATAAATATCAAAAAAATTTATCATTCCCCAGGTTTTTTGATAGAATTTTTTCTTAAAAAAAAATTGCCAAGTTTTGATAATTTTTTAATGAAACTAATAAGGTTATGATTGGTTTTTAAAAATCATAATCAACGCACAGATCAAAATATGTCAAAATTTTCTTATAATACACTTCATTTTTCAATTAAAAATTAAAAAATTCTTTTAACCAAAAAAATAACAATAATCCGTGCGGATATTTAAAGTTCAACCTTTTTTTTTTTGTTTCTTTGTTAAAAAATACTTTATCGACCATATTTGATTATCTAATATATGTTGTGTATTTTAACTGAATTGGTAACTACATAACTACATGAAGCTAATGCAACTTTCTGAAAAATGATAACCCAAATACCGTAAATATGTTAAAAATAGTAAAATTCAATGTTATCACCATGTTATCATCATGTGAAACAAAAAAAATTGATTATTTATGCGATGTGATATAAATAAATGAGTTGAACCATCAAAAATTTATAATTACATTTATCTCATTTAAAACTAAATGGATTTACCGGATCGGACCTCAAAGTACTTTCTTTATCTATCTTATTTTATCCATCTAAAAAATCATTATTGAATAATTATTCATTCTATTATAAAAAACTTTTTTATGGTTCCCTTTCTGAAAAAAAGAAAATAAAATATATTTTTATATTAATTCTTTTTTAAAACAAAAGTCCTTCCATATATGTATGAATCTGAAGGATCAGTATTTCTCAAAAAAACTTTTGGATTTGATCATTAATCATAAAGGAGGATTGAAATAATAAAATCCTTACTCGCAAGTACACAATTGGATACAGCAGGAATCGTTACAAAAATTTGGCGAGGACATTAAACACGGATGTAATGCGAGTATGTATTACAACATAAATAAGGAACATGAAACTTTTAGTGTCAATTCTTAAAACGATTTCGTATAATCGTATAAATCGAGGTTAGATACTGTCATTTATTATAAGGTTAGAATAAAAAGTTTTCATACTATTATTTAAATAATGAGTATTGAATCAAAAGAACTTTGTGATTTGTTTCATTTTGAGCTATACATATATCCGGAAAAAGTATTTAACAATCTCGTAATTATTAATATACCTTATATAACTTTGTTTAATATAACCGTTTTTTCTTTAATGGTTGCGTTTCAAATTTAGAAGCTTATTAATTAAAGTCGATAAATTCAATTTATTATTAATATTTTTATTTATAAAATTAATTTATATTAATTATTAACTTTTTATATTAGTCTAGGATTAATTTTTTTTTTTTAATAATATTTTTATAAGGCTAAAATTAACCATTTTTTATTTTTATAATTAAAAAACTTTGTAAAAAGTTCTAAATGATAAATAAATATTAGAAAAAATGGGGCATACTGTAACAAAACCAGACAAAGTGAACATTTGTATTACCAAGAATTTCAGGAATCAAAATTTAGTAATGTGATTATTAAAATCTCCCATTTGTTATCTTCTTAATATTAAGTGATATATAGAATTACCTTTATATAAAAATAGTTAATATGAAATTAATTTACATTAGGTCTACTATGGAATCCAAGAATTATAGCACCATTAGAAGTATTTTGAAAAAGAAACAAGGTGAAAAAATTGCTCCTTATATTTTCAAAATAAATGATACTCAGACACTTGAAACTTATCTAAGGAAAGAAAGAATTACTTATAAAATTTACCATAAAGAAAGAAAAATAATAAATGTTAGAAAAAGAAAACATCATGATGATGCATTATTATCTAATAAAAAGCAAAAATCTTTAAAAGGAAAATAACTATTGTTTTCTTTGATAGTTAGAATGAATTTCAATTTATACAAAGGAAAATAACCAAAATTTTCTTTAAATTACTTTCTTATTTTCAATCAAGATCATTTTTTAACTTCAATTTGAGCAACTAATTGACTATTTTGTTGTTCTTTTAATTGTTTATTTTCCTCTTTTAATTGATTGATTTTTTCTTCCAAACTCTTTATTTTATCTAATAACTCCTGTTTCTGTTTTTTACTTCATTTCTCTGATTTCTCTTAAAATTTGACTACTTTTTTCCTTTCAATTTTTAACTCTTCTTTAGCAACCGATTGTTCTTTTTCTAGTTCTCTAGTTTTATTTTCTAGATGAGAACTGAAAGTTCGAAAAATTATTTCTTCTGTAGAGAGTGATTAGATTGGTTTACCTTTTAGTAGATTACAAAAACAAGCTTTCCTATTTCTTTTTAGTCTACCACAAAGTTCACAATAAGGAAGAATACCACTTTCCAAATCTTTTTTACAATTGTTACAAATATGAGCTATGTCAGCATAATCACCATTATCTTTGAATGTTGCAATTTGATAAGTAGCAACATTAAAAACTAAACTGTTTCTAGAACAAAAATCTAGTAAACAATAATTATAGTCTGACTATTTCTTTCTGCTATTTCAAGAATTCTATATTCTAGTTTCATGATTACTTATTCTTTTGTAAAATGTAGGTATCAAACTTTTTTTTAACATTTTCCTTAACTTTTTCTTTTGTTGTACTTATTAACTTCTGAAGTTGTTAAAATTTCTTAGATTTAGTTAATTTAGCTAATTGCTCATCCTTAGCATTTAAATCCTTTCTCAATTTTTCAATCATCATTTGTTACTCAAATATGAAAATATCCTTTTTCATGATTACTTCAAAGACTTTTCGTTCATGCTATTCATGGAATTTGTCTAGTGCTTTCAAGTTAGTTTTAATTTCGATTTCTACTCTGTTTTCTAATTCTTTTATCCTATTATTTTTTTCTTCTAGTTTTGCTTCCAATTGTAGGATTTTTTCCTTATGTTCTTGATTTTGTTTAACCACTTTATCAAAATTTGCCTTAGTTTTAAAAGTTAATTCATTTCAACTACTAATTAACTTATCAAGAGAAAGATTTCTAAGATCATAATAGTTATGACAACTTATGCTTATTGAATCTCATCCTTCATAACATTTTTCTAAAATTCCTTTTAGAGTTAAATTATCTTCTATTTTGCCTTCTCTTAATCACTTTCTAAATAACTCTTTGCTTTTCTCGGAATTTAATTTGATGAGGTTAATAAAGATATCTCTTTTAGCCTTATTTCTTACCTGCCAATGAACTCTTGATTGCTTATAATAAGAATAATATTGATAAGCATTAAAAATTACTCTTTTATAAGCTACTTCAGTAGGAAACAACTTATAAAAATCAGATCAAGTTTCTTCATAAAAATGAATTTTCTCAATATTGCATCAACTACATCTATATCTGAATTATCAGTATAATGATCTTTACTTAAAACAGTAGCTATTCATTGTCTAATTTCTTCATTGTTCAACTGTTTAAATTCTTAATTTTTATCTGCTAATTGCATTTTTAATGTTTGATTTCATTTAATAGTTCTTTATTTACTTGTTATTGTTATTTTAGGATGTTTGACATAATTTGTTCTTTTTTTTATTTATTTAATTAATATACTTATATTCTTTTTATAAGAGTACATTAAGTATATAAATTATTTTAGTACTTTTTTGCTTTAAAAGTGAAAAAAGCTAAACTTATTAAACTTGATGACAGCAAGGAAGTGATAAAGTAATAAAGGTGATTTTGTTCTAAATATTTTATTTGTTGCCAGTATAGAATGATCTTAGATAAGTAATATCTTTGTATTCATCTTTCACAAATGGGCAAATATTATTATAAAGGTATTCTTGTCTTTTATAATCCAAAAGAAGTGGTGTTAACACTAAAATAAATAAAGCTTTAATTTCTTCAAAAATATCTGCTCTTTTAGTTTTTAATAAATTAAATTAGCAAAAGGTCTATTGGCAATCTCCTAAGTTTTGACCACACCAAGGTTAAATGCTTTAAAAAAAAAGTGTTTATATTTTTGTAGACCATTTAATTTCTTGAAATAAATTCCTAAAATAGCTTTAATATCTAAGTATTAAAAACCTTTTCAACTTTTATAACACTGAGCTTTATTTATTCCTGCTTGACTAGACTTTTCTATTACTTTAACCACATGATCCTTACAATCTACTCTTGTTTTCCTATAGAGTTTTTTTATTAAACCAAAACTACCATCACATTTGAATTTAGTATGTTCAGGAATCATGAAATTCAATTCAATACTTTCATAATAATCACAAATTACCAAATATAAATAAAACCAAATTGTTACATTATTTTTATTTTGACCTTTAGTATTATCACAAGTAATCTTTAAATGTTTTTCACCTTTATTTAATTTTTTGATTCCATCAAAAATCATACTGAGTGTACCATTGGAACCTTTACCTATAATTTCATTTCATCAAGAATATAATTGATTTGTTTTCTTACTGCTTCATCTTGAATGCCAAATAAATGAACTTTGTGTGAATTAAGGTAATAAATCTTACTTACTTGTTGATTTGAATAAGGCATATAACCATTTTGGGCTCAATCATAATCTTATAAGAAATTGAAATAAGGAAATGATATGTTTTTTATAAGGTTTGTATACGTAATTAATGATTCTATATCAAAATTCCGTATGTTTT